TCTTTCCCTCCAATGTCCATGGAGATAAAATTCATTAGTGCTTCAAAACACTTACAAAATTAACGTTAATGTTTAATGATTCCTTTCTGTCTTTCTGCCTTCTCTTTCCCCATTCATGTGTTGTCTTCTCATACGGTTTTATACTTTCACACTTATCACTGCAAAAATTGAGATTTTTGCCATTTGTCCAAGAAGGATGGCAGCCTTCACTCAAGATGGAAGAAATTTGAACTTTCTCACCATAAAAAAGTTACATTTTTGACCAAAATTCATATATTGGGAAGTTATGGATGTAATCTGAAATATTTACATTAAATATCATTCCACAGTTTCTCATGAAAATTTAGTTTAGGCTTTTTGAGTCCCATTTTCTTTTTTTGGGCCTTGAGGTGAGTTTCTGTATTGCATGCTGCAGTTTCTCTCTGTAAAGAGTTGAGGAATTTTGCTCATGGTGCTCAAAACATCAGTGCTGACAAGGGAGGACATCAGTCCAAACCCTTCACCTTGGGGACATTCACTTTTTTCCATGGAGAACAGATGTTCTTGTGACAAATGTCATTTAGCAGAAAACAAGGTGCTCACTTGAAAAATAACACTTGGCAGTATCTTTTACCAGCAAAAGGAATAAAGTGACTAAAGAAATTCTGTATTCAGTATGTGCCAGGGGAACAGAAGCTGGTAAAGGAGGTCAAGGAGAGCGTGAGGCTGCTGCGGCGTGTGGGGAAGGAGTGCATTGACCAGAGGAGAGAAGCCATCCGGAATGGGAAGGAAGCCACGCTGGATATTCTCACGCAGATACTGAAAGGAGATGGTAGGGGACACATTGCTGTTGGAGTTAATTCATCTGTGGCATGTTTTGCCATGAGATTTTGGGGATCTGAACTTTCATCCTCTGATGTCTTCAGGAGGGTTTTGTCACGCTGAAGACAGTGAGAGTTCCTCTCTAAATTCTCCATTCCTTTGTGTTGGATCAAATGTAAATCAGATGTAAAAAAAGTCACCACTGAACTGCCTGCTCAGCATCCCCTCCCGATGCCACTTCAGACAACATGTGCAAAACAGGACAGAACATTCTGTCTGTTCCAGTTGAGGCACGGGGACATTTTCTAATCTTGTTTGCTTTTCTCTCTTGACAGCCCTGGAGGAAACTAGAGATGATGAAAACATTCTGGATAACTTTATCACTTTCTTTGTTGCAGGTTGGTAGCTATTTTAATGTTTGGATATGTCATGTGGGAAGCCGTACTCATTTTTGGGCTATCTTTAGGTGTTCAGTGTCCTTGTTCATTCTGTGTGATGCTGCTGTAACCAGGAGTCACTTGGTTGTAAGACAGCAGTATTACACTTGGCATAGGACCAGCTGGACAAGGTCTGAAGACAGCTCTTGGTTTTCTCATAGGCAAATGATAAGTTGTCCTCCTTCAGTCATATCAGCACAGCAAATAGTGCCAGGCCAGTGGTTTCCAAACCGTGGTGCAGAGGGCAGCACTGCCCACTGGGGTGCAAGACTATTCCCCATGGGGTTCTGGCCCTTCCTCCCAGGTCCTGCTATACCCCACTGAAAGCATCTTCAACGTATCCCACATGTGTTTATGTCACCTCACACACACAATTAAATGCCATTCTTGCCTTAAGAGCACTGGTCAACAGTTGGTAGAAGAGGGCACTGTCAAGCCTGTCAGGAAAAACAGGTGGAGATGTTACATGAGGTAAACTGTAGAAAGATTGGTCTTGCAAGTCAGTAGGATGTAGGTTCCTAAGAAAGCAAGGTCAAAACAGTGTTCTTGTGCAAGAAAGATGTTACTGCCCCAAATAAACAAGTACATCTTTGCAGAAGTCTGTTTTCTGTAATGCTTCAACATAATGCATAGGCCTATCTGAAAAAATGAAAACTGTCCACATAAAGCAGCCATTTCAAAGGAAGATGGTTAGAAGCTCTGTTTTCCCTCAAAACCAGTAAATCCTTGCTTCTTGGCAGAGCTGTGTCCCCCATAATATGACAAGGCAAATATTGAACCTCGCTGGTCCTCCTGTTGGGGAGCTCATACCCAGAAGTTGCTGTATGCAGCCACTGCAGGTTTCTGTTGAGCAAGATAGCGCATATCTTTACCAGTTATGTCTTGTTCTTGTTGTTCTTGAAAGCTCCTTATGTAGAATTTACGTCCCTTTTAGTGTATCCTTTAATTTCTAGCATACTTGAAATTAAACATTTGGGGCCTGATGTTTAAAGTTTCCTGTTCACAATCACACTAGTAGGCAATCTTTGTATCATATTATTATTTTCTGCTAACCTTTAAACCATTTTTTTGGTGTCATTAGGTCACGAAACCACTGCCAATCAGTTGTCATTTACAGTAATGGCACTGGCACAGCATCCTGAAATACTGGAAAGGTAGGTGAACTCCAGTTTGCAAACGCAACTTGCTGTTAATTTCAAGATAAACTTAATTATAAGGATTATTAAAAAGCTAGGATCAATTCCCAATAAATTCTAGCCTCCCTTCCAAAATAAACAGTTTCATAGTCCTGACATATTTTAAATTTTAAAAAAGCTTAAGATGAATGAATCACTTTTCAAAACCTTTATACAAAGCTGGTCCCGCGTCCTGCCTGATTCAGCTGCACTGTAGGCACATTGCTCCATCCTGGTAGGAGGCACAAGTTCAGGCAGGCTGGCTGGGAATCAGTCGGCATTTTGCCTGAGGGTGGGAGTCAAAGTCCAACTCAATGTCTGGAAAGTAAAAAGTGTAGTTTGTCAACTTGCCGAGCAAGTAATGAGTGTCTGCAACTAACACTTTTTAAATTTAACTGCAGGGTTCAGGCTGAAGTGGATGAAGTTCTTGGTGCCAAGAAAGACATTAACTATGAGGATCTTGGCAAACTCGCGTACTTATCGCAGGTACTGTAGGAGTGAGGTAAAATACCAGCCAGTCAGAACTGTTTGGTAGCACTCTTGTCATATCATGGGACTGCCAAGAGGAGGCCCACACTTCTAAAATCTTAAGAGCCATGCCAGTATTTGGTCCTGACTGTGTTTGTCCCCAGAGGGTCAGCAAGCAGGTACCATGAGCCATTTGCAGCAGCCCAGCTGTTTTGAGAAGGATCCTCATCAAATTTCTTTCAAAAATCCCATTATTCTTTCACTGCTTTCTTTAATTATTACCAAGCTGGGAGCTAGAGCAGAGTTGCCTAGTCCCTGCCTGTTTGAGCTGAAACCAGAGCTGAGAATTAAGAAGGATTTGCAACTTTAAGGCCAACCTGTTCTTGAGTCCCAGGTGCTTCCCAAGCTTACAACTCTATTTTTGTTTGATTATTGTTAAAGCATTTCTAGCTATTTTCTCTCCACATGCCATAAACTGAGTGGGATTTGAGGACATACAAAAATTATGGTTATTTTTTGCAATTTCAGTTCCTTATTATTCAGTCTTGAAACCCTCTTCGGTCACTAGTGGGCGGGGGGGTGGGAGGAGGAAGTTTGGTCCTAAAAGAGGTCTTATATATAGAAATGCTGGTTGGTAATGAACTGCAAAGCCAGGGTTTAGCTACTCACCAGCCATTTGTATTATGTTTCCTTTTTTACGAGATGGGAGATACCAGCAGCCCTCAGGAGACGCTGAATCACAGTCCTGGCAGCTATCCTCCTCCTTAAATTCCCTGTGATTTTTAGTAATCTGCCATGATTGCTCTTCTCTTAAATTGCCCTGTGAAGGTGTGTAATGGTGTTTTACCATTTGCCATATCCCATTCCACTGTGCTTTGACAGCAAATAGATTTCAAAGGTGTATTTCTCATAAGGAAAAGGCTTCTCTGTGTGATTACAGAAATCAGCAGGTTTCCTTAGGCTTCTTCAAACACCATCACAATTGTACCACTCCAATTAGGACGAGGTATCTAAGCCTTTCAGTTTAAGACAGATCACATGAGAGCCTCTCAAAGCAGATTGTTTATTTAACAAAACAAACTTGGATCCGTACAAGCGAAATCACAGTCACCCTTGGTCAGAGCCAGTCCATCATGGAGTATCAGAGACCATGGGACTTCTCTCCTGTTGCTCAGACAATTCTGAATCCTTTTGTCCACGCTTCTTTTTCATGAATCCACTTGTGCATACATGCCATTAATTGCATTTGCAATGCGATGTTAATGTGCACTGTTAATTAGGTTTCACTTTGATGAAATAAGCCATTCTTACAGCTCACTGCCACCAAAAGAAATGCTCTCATGCTATTTTTTTCTCACTGTTGCCTATTAATTTTCCTTGGCCAGTTTGTTTTTTGTCATTTTGGTGCTCTGACCTAGCTCAGCTTCCCAAGCAGCAGAAGCAGAACAAAGGCAGGAGTGGGAGTGCAGTGCTGGGAGTGGGAGGGAGGTGGGAGCAGCCACCCATCCTCGAGGCAGCCAGCACCGAGAATAGCTCATCAGGGGCATGAAACTTCACTCTTGGATATGCCCTTTGAATTTGCTTCCCAGTATTTTTTCATGTGGTTATTGACCTGACTCGAGGTGTTAGATTTGTTCAATTCACGGTATCTCTTCTGGGTTTTGCTGCTTTTTTTCTGTATTTTACCCGTTCTAAGAAAGAACCAGGCCTGAAGGAGCTGACTTAGCCATATATTTTGCCCACAGAAGTCCAAGGCAGATACACCAGCATCTGTTCCGCGAGTCAGAAGCTCCCATTAGCCAAAGCAAAAGGCCATAGGGAGGTAATTAATTTTATTTCTGCTTCCTACACTGTATTAATTAACAGATCTTTTGTACTTTCACTGACACAGGTTTTGAAGGAATCGCTGCGGCTGTACCCACCCATCCCGGGGACGGTGCGCCGGTTAGAGAAGGAGCATGTCATCAACAACATCAGAATTCCTGCAGACACGATGCTCATTGTGAGTCCCACCCACCAGTCAATCCAAATGTAATGGATCTGTGTATCAGAGTGCTAAAATCCTCCCTGGGCATATTTCTACTGGCTTCTCTGAAATTTTGGCCAAAGTTGGGGTATGAACTGGGACTCTAGATTGTTTTTTGCCTGGGGAGTGGAAGGCAGTTACGGTTTTGTACCTGTGACAACAAAAGTGGCATTTTCAGTCTGCTGCTCCTGATTAACGCAAACAAACTCTTTCTTGACAGTTCAGCACTTACATAATGGGAAGGATGGAAAAGTATTTCAAGGATCCACTCACTTTCAATCCAGACCGATTTAGCAAAGATGCACCTAGGTGAGTTTCTTTTTACTCTCAGGTTATTAAATATGTAACAAGGCACCATTACAAGGAGAGATTTCAAGGGGAAGAAAGTAGAATAAAACTATTTTTCCATTGCAGTATGGGTAATGCTAAAGCCTTATCCAAATGCAAATAAAGAACAATAATGTGAAGCTTCTGTTCAGAAGTTCTTCATACCACACAATACCTTACAAAAAAAGACCAATACTAATGTTATGTAATGTTTATATTGAGGTAAAAAATCAAGGTTTGGGTCAAAACCAGGTTGAATATTTGCCTTAATGCAATACAGACATTTAGTGTGTGGCAGCTCTGGTTCAGGGTTCTTGAAGTGTCTCTTAATTAGAGAGAGAAGAGGGGCAGGAGATGCTGTTCAGCTCTGCAGGCTGTCAGCCGAAGCCTGATCAGTAGGAGGGATTGCAATAGGAGAGACCACTGACCTAAACAGCTGCTGCTCATCCCTGCGTCTAACTACTTCATGAGTTGGGGGTTGGACTTCAGCCTAGAGTTAGTCTGGTCTCCTGAACCAAATGCCCCATTGTTCACATGGTTCAGAGCTGTCCAAAGAAGCAATAATGTGGTGGATTGTTAGGTCAGCTTGACAGGCTACAGAGCATTTGGAGTATGCCTGACATTCGGCTTTGAAGTAAGGTTTGCACACATTAAAACAGCTCTGTGAGCTGAGCCATATAGTAAGAGGAGATGATGAGGAAACTTTCTGCAGAGCTATATTGCTGCTCTGAAGTAAAAAAACACGTTAATTTGGAGGTTGTCTTAACAAGTCAGCTAGGTGAGGTAGTATTTAGACCATTTCCTTGCTGCTGTGATGAAATGCTTGCTTGCTTCTTTACAATCAAGCTGTCAGAATGACAGATTTGAACACTTTTCTTTGCAGGCCATATTACTGCTATTTTCCATTCTCTCTGGGACCCCGATCCTGCATCGGGCAGGCATTTGCACAGGTAAGCAGAGGCCTGGGACAGTGCTTTGTAGTGAGCACTGGGCCAGCTCAGGGTGTGCTGGCCGTGGCTGGTGGTGGGTGACCAAAGGCCACACTGATGGTGCACTGACCCTCTTCCCCCTGGAGGGAATATGCCCACCATGCCCACGACAGGGCACGTCTCTGAAACACTGTCACATGTACTGAACAGGTCCCATGTCACTCGTGCCCACATGCAGCCAAGGTGCTGGCAGGGGAGGGAGCAGCAGGCTGCTCTCCCTCGAACTGTCCTGGGTCACCCTGCTTGAATCCAAACCCTTTGATGGGGATCACAGTCAACATCCCCTTGCCAAACGAGGTCAGACACCTGAGGGGTGTGCAGGGGCTCTTAGGGACCACCCTGTGGCTGCAGCTGGCAGAGTCAAAACAGGGAAAACATCAGCTGGCAGAAGGTCACAAGCCAGGACTGGCACTGAGGAGGTGAGGAGGGGGCTGTGTGGATGAGAGGAACAATTTAATGACGTATGTGGATGTGGTTACTTGAGCATGGCAGAGAGCATTTTGGAAGGACAGTAGGAGGCCAGTTCTTTGGGTCTATGCTGTTGAGTTCATCTAAGCACCAGTGTTCAAAATCTTTAGGTTAAATTGCTTGTTTTTACTTACGATTTCCAAAACAGGGTTAGCACATGAACACAGGGACAGATCTTTGTGCCTGTCAGTTGTCTTCATATCCAGGAAGCCCCAGGTGACTGTTCTTCCTGCCCAAATTCTGTCAGCTGCATTGAGTAACATCTAAGTTTAAAATCTCTGTATTGAAAAAGCAGCATGACCTAATACACTGACTTTTAAGTAGCTGAAATCCAAGCTGTATTTGCTGTCACTGATGATAAATTTGATTTTTTTCTTAACAGATGGAGGCAAAAGTGGTGATGGCAAAACTGCTGCAGAGGTTTGAATTCCAGCTGGTACCAGGGCAGAGTTTCAAACTACAGGATGCTGGAACCTGTAGACCGCTAGATGGAGTAATGTGTAAATTAAAGCCACGGAGCCCTGCAGGAGACTGCCGGGTGTGACTGCTCAGGAAAGGAGCATGCCATGGTAGTGGTAGCGTTTCTTCTGATTTTGAAGATCTTCATGCTAATCAAAGGTTAGATTTTGCAGGCTCCTTTAGAGGATTACTCGACTGAAATTCTTCCTAGCCTTCCTCATCATTTACTGAAGAAAACTCTTAGGAGACTCACTTTAGGTATGTTTGAGCATCTTCGATCTGGAAGCATACCTGGAATTGCAAAGCCTGTTATTTTACTGGGGGACTCTTTGGTTCTGATCAGACTTGGAAAAGAACATCCTTTCACTGGAGTATATGTGGAGCTCCACACAAACCTAAGCTCAAATTCCAGTTGATAGTTTCCACTGAGTTTACTTATGACACAGTATGGTCTAAGTAAGCCCTTTTTCAGGGAATTTCCTATTTACACATTGAAATCAGAAAACTTAGTAAAGCACAAGATTTGGACTTGGGAGGAGAAGTTTGGAGATATTCTCTAGGTCAAAGCAATTTCACCATCTGTTCTCTAAATGAGAAGAACCATTGATAGCAATTTGAAGCCTAAAAATCAGAGACTGAGGCCACTACTTTTTCCCTGTTGCTTCTGACTTATTCAGTCTTCCATTATTATTGAGAGCATAGATTTCCAGTCCATGCTGGTGAAAGGGCCTCTCCTGCTTCCTCCTACCCCTCCCCACAGCCTGTGCTTATTCTCCTGAGACACTGGGTGGTCTTGCTGATTTTGTTTTTGCCTGGATAATTTTCTCCATCTGTTTTACCACAAAGCTATATTGACACTTGTTCTAGTAGGTACAGCAGGGTTGGAAGTGCCTGCAACCAAATGCTGCTTTAAATGATATTGCTGCTGAAGAAATGTGTCTGCAAGTTGAGCCAGAGGCAGAAGAAGGTCCTACACCCCTTCTTCAGCAGATGTGCCAGAATTGTAGGTTTGCAGCCTGGCTCTGCTAGGGGAAAAAAAACCATCGTGTGAAAGTGCCACCTTCCAGAAATACATGGATACCTAATGTGAGTTTGGGCCTCATCTATCATGAAATACAGGGAATTCAAAACAATAGCTGCTGCTATTTCTTACCTTTTTGAATTAAAAGGGCAAGAACACAGTCTGTACACTGTCAAGTGCCCATGGTGGTTTCCATACCAGGAGAGTAACGTCCCAGAGCTTTCCCTTGTTCTGCTCCTCTTGTGTACCATCTCGTTTGCTGCAGCAGTGGGACAACAAGCCAGTAAGGTTGATGCAGCTTTTGATAATATAAGCGATGTCATACAATGTACTAATATAACTTGTACCCAGAGGTACTGATACCTGTATTACAAGGGATGGCTTAGTCCATTTTTCAGTAGACTGACTTCTCAATCCCTTATGCTGGAGATCTGCTTATATCCTTGAAGACATTAATAAAATCTGATTGGGAAAAGCTGAGGACTCTCCAGCTGGACATGTGTTCCTGAGAGCTGATGCGGTCGGGAGTGGGATGCTCAGTGCCACTTGGGCTGGATGTGCTGGTGGTGTAACAAAAGGCTGAAGCCTGAGGATATGTTGAAGGGAGGGAAGTATCTCGGTGGTGTAGGGAGTGCTGGGGAAAGCTGTGAACAGCACACAGACAGTTCTACAGATGTGCTGGCAAGTCATGCTATGGAGATGCGAGACACCACAGTGCCAGTGCTCTGCTCTACTAATGAATGAGTCTAGGTGTGTCAATTGTACAAACACACATTCCCTTCTGCTACTTCAGCAATGAGGACAGGAACATCCAAGGAGGGCTCAGGGGGAGCGGTAACATGTTGAAACCCTGCAGTGAGTTTTGTCAGACCTCATCAGCCCAAGACTGATGCTCCCTGCTCTGTGCTTATCCCCCTCAGAGGATATTCTTCCTGCTCTCTGTAAGCCCAGATGTTATCCAGCTCTCCAGAGACTGCTGACACAGGCCTTCCTGCTGTTCTTACACCTGAGAGCTCTTGCCAGACTGTCGCCTGTCAATGCTGATTGCTTTCCAGCAGATGGCAAGCTCTCCCTGTCGGTGCACCCAACAGGGTCTGAGCTCCTCAGCATTGACAGCTCCTTCTCTTAGGCGACAACCTGTCTTGGCTCCTCCAGGGCATCCTACAGCAGGAGCAGGTAGTGTCCTGTCATGTTGTGCAAACACCCTGCAGTGCTCTCACTGTTTAGTCCTGCAGCCTCAACCAGGAGGTGATCCCTTGTCTGCCAAAACCAAAAAGGAGCAGGTTCAGTAAAGCCTCCTCCCTGGAGCCCTGCATGCCAGCCGGGTGCTGGTACAGCCTCTGCCAAACACTATTGTGAAGCTTCAAGCCACAAGTGCCCAGGCAGACCCAGCTGTGATTGCTGTAGGGCACGAAGAAGCTTTGGGCTGCAGCTTTCATGGACAGCACAGAGAAGAACAGTTTTCCCTTGTTCTGGGGAAGAAAAACATGTTTCACTTCTGGGGCAAGCAATTGTCTTAACCAAAGCCTCTGCTAGGGACCGTGCCTGGGAAGGCAAAAAAGCAGAGCAAGGTCTGTCTCCTCTTCCCATCTGCTTGTAGGTGGAGTTCCTTTTCTTCTTTTCCATTTACTGGATCTTGGGCAAAACAAAGAAAAATCTGGAAATGGCTGGGGGGGTGATTTTTCCCTGGGTGCCACCCAGGCATAGCCCAGGGCAGCCCTGTGTGGTGTGCCTGGGGGCTGGATGCAAAAGGGTTACTGTGTTGACATGGGACTGCAAAGCCGGGCTGCTCAGGATGGTGAGCAGTGCCCACACCCCAAAGGTGAGGGCACTGGTGGTGACACTTGCTCCCGAGAGTCTTTATCAGAGGTTTCTAAGTCTTCCTCCTGTTCCGACAGATGGCTGCTGCGTGTGTCTTTGATCCTCCTCCCAGACCTAAAAACTCTTTGCCTCCTGGACTGATGCTCAGGACTTTCTTGTGTGTGCTCAGAGAGAGGAGTTCCCCCCAGGATTTCTCACCAGGTTTTTTATGCTAACCCACGAGCTTAATCTTGTCCCTTTTATGTCAATGCCATAGACAAGAAAGAGGGAGAATGCTGCTGCCTAGACCTCTTGGGACAGGAGGGAACCATTTAGGGGACATACACCCAGAGAAGCCTCTGTCTTTCAGAGGAAGGCAAGCCCCTTCACCACTGGCATGGGAAATGGGGACCCTCTCACCCCAGCTACTCTGGAGCACATCCACACCTCATGTACAGAATCACAGAAT